TCAGCATTGTAAGTGTACAATTCAGTAGTGTTAAGTATATTTACATTGTTGTAAAACAGATCTCGAGAGATTTTTCATCTTGCAAAACTAAAACTCTATACCCATTAAACAACAACTTCTATTTATTTCCTCCTCCCAGCCACTGGTAACCACCGTTCTACTTTCTGTTTCTATGAATTTGACTACTTTTGATACCTCATATAAGTGTAATTATATAGTGTTTGTCTTCTTGTGACTGGCTTATTTCACTTAGCATAGTGTCTTCAAGGATCATTCACGTTGTAGCTTATGGCAGGATTCCCTTCCTTTTCAGGAATGAATAATATTCCATGGCATGCGTACATCACATCTTGTTTATCCATTCATCTATTGGAGGACATTTGGATTGCTTCTGCCTCTTGACTTTTGAGAATAGTGCTACCATGAACATGGGTGTACAAATACCTTTTTGACACTTTGCTTTTAGTCCTTTTGGATATATAACCATAATACGCAGGATTGTTGAATCATACAGTAGTTCTAACTTTTAATATTTTGAGGAGCCTCCATACTGTTTTTCCGAGGGGCTGCACCATTTTACAAACAGTACACAAAGGCTCCAGTTTCTCTACATTCTCACCAACACTTGTTTCTGTTTTCTTGATAGTTGCCATCCTATAGGTTTGAGATGCTATCTCATTGTGGTTTTGATTTGCATTTCTCCGATAATTAGTAATAATATTGATCATTTTTTATATACTTTTTGGCCAGTTGAATATTATCTTTGAAGAAATGTCTGGTCAAGTCCTTTGCCCATTTTTTAATCGAGTTATATGATTTTTTTCCATGGCATTGTAGGGGTTCTTTATATATGTTAACTTTTGGATATTAACCATTTACCAGATAGATGATTTGCAAATGCATCCTCCCATTCTATAGGTTGCTTTTTCACTCTATTATTATTATTATTTTATGAGGTACAAAAGTTTTAAAGTGTGATGTCCCATTTGTCTATTTTTGCTGTGCTTTTGGTGTCATATTCAAGAAATCAGTCAAGACGAATGTCATGAATCTTTTCTGCTATATTTCCTTCTAGAAGTTTTATAGTTTCAAGTCTTAACATTTCAGTCTTCAATCCATTTTGAATTGATTTTTATGCATGGCATAACATAAAGGTCCAACTTCATTCTTTTTTTATGTGGATATACAGTTTTCTCCACACCATTTATTGAAGAGACTGTACTTTCCTCATTGAGTAGTTGGTATCCTACGTGAAAATCATTTGTCTTTATATGTGAGGGTTTATTCATTGGCACTGTGTTCTATTTCATTTATGTGTCTGTCTTTATGCCAGTACCTCACTGTTTCGATTACTGTAGCTCCTTTGTAATGTTTTGAAATCAGGAAGTGTGAGTTCTCCAACTTTGTTCTTTTTTAGAATAGTTTTGTTAATTTCAGGTTCCTTGAGATTTAATATGAATTTTATGACTAATTTTTCTGTAGATTTCTGCAAATAAATAGCCACTGGGATTTTGATAGGGATTACGTTGAACCTGTAGATTGCCTTGGATAGTATGGACATCCTAACAATATGAAGTCTTTCAATCCATAAACACAGGGTGTCTTTCCATATATTTGTGTCTTCTTTAACTTTTTTTAGCACTGCTTTATAGTTTTCAGTGTAAGTGTCCTTCATCTCCTTGGTTAGGTTTATTCTTAATATTTTATTATTTTTATGCTGTTGTAAATGGAATTTTTTTCTTAATTTCTTTTTTGTATTGTTCATTATTAGAATACGGGAACACAACTGATTTTATTATGTTGATTTTGTGTCTTGTAACTTTGCTGAATTTATTCTAACATTGTTAGAATATTGTTATTCTAACATTTTTTTTTAAAATGTGGTATCTTTAGGGCTTTCTACATATAAGATTATATCGTCTACAGACAAACAATTTTGCATCTTTCTTCCCAATTTAGATGCCTTTTATTTATTTTTTTTCTTACCTAATTACTCTGGCTAGAACTTCCATTATGGTGTTGAATAAAAGTAGCAAGGGTCGATATCTTGCCTTGTTCATGACCTTAGGGGAAATGCTTTCAGTCTTTCACCGTTGAGTATGAGGTTAGCTGTGGGCTTTTCATATATGGCTATTATTATATTGAGGTAGTTTTCTTCTATTCCTAGTTTGTTGAGTGTTTTTATCATGAAAGTGTGTTGAATCTTGTCAAATGCTTTTTCTGCACCAATTGAGATGATTACATGGTTTTTGTCATTCATTCTGTTAATGTGGTGTATTAAATTGACTTTAATATTTTGAGCTATGCTTGCATTCCAGGAGTAAATCCACTTGGTCATGGTGTATAATCTTTTAATGTGCTGTTGACTTCAGTTTACTAGTATTTTATTGAGGAATTTTGTATCAATGTTCATCATAGATATTGGTCTGTAGTTGTTTTCCTTTGTTTGTTTGTTTTTTTCCTCGTGGTGTCTTTGACTGACTTTGGTATCTAGGTGATGCTAGCCTCATAGAATAAACATAGAAATGTGCCCCCACCTTCAATTTATTAGAAGAGTTTTAGGAAATTTCTTTTGAATTTTCTAAATCCTTAAATTTTGATGTCTATTGTAAATAGCTAATTGATAAAATTTATTGTTTTATACAGAATGGCAATGTTTGTTTTTAATCTGGAACATTTAGTTCATTATCATGTACTTTCCATAACTATGCCTCTGGATTTATTTCTATCACCTGTTTAGTGCTTCTTATCTGCTACACCCTTTAACTATCCAGGTAGTAGAAATTAAGGCAGCAAGCCTCATTAAGGTTTGAATTATGAGGAGACATTTTTTAGTCTCTTTTGTTCATACACAAATTTTAAGGCAGGGAATTATTTTGTAGGCCCTTCAAAAAATATATTTAATTCATGCTACAATCAGGCAATATAATAATTGTGATCTAAGCTTCATGCTGTGAGCTGGTCATTTATTGAATTCCCCAGCTTGTGAGTCTCCCCTTTCACTTTTATGTCTCTCAGCTTTGTGCACTAAGCAGCCATGAAAAACAAACATAATATCAAACTCTCCAGGGTTTACCTCTGGAGCTTGTCTTTTTGGCTTTCCATCGTCAACTTCAGATTGGTTTTTACTTTCTTACCAGGTTATCAGAGCATTTACAAAGACTTTTTACAAATTTTATTTAGTATTTCAAAGTATTTTCAGATAATTGTTCAGTCAGGGTGTTTAGTTAGCCATAATGCTGGAAATATAAATCTTGTGATTCACAAATAGAAGAAAAAATGGTACAGCTGCATTAGAAAAATTAACTGAGAAATGATATAGGTAATATTGTAAGAGAAAACATGCAAGGATAAATTAATTGATCTGTTAGTGATAAGGAAAATGGAAAATCCTGATATATAATATGAAGATCCCAATTAACCTAATTGGGGGGGGGGTAAAGAGATGGAGGAAACAAGATTTTGTGATAGGTGGTTTCCTGCACAAACTATGAGATGGCATTTGTAGCTCAAAACTCAGTGACGCTCTCTAGAAGAAATTTCAGAATAGAAAGAAAGGATAGAACAATTGTGGAGTGAGTATAATTTACATTGATATGTTTACAACTCAGACTATTTTAACTTTCCATTCTTTTACCTTGTTCCCAACCAAAATACTAAGACTCCAGGTTCTTTATACATGGAGAATAGGAGGTTATGTATTTGTTGCATACATGCTGGCATAAATTATTGGGGATGAACTACATTCTTGAGGACAGAAGCACTCGTGGGCTCTAGTTCCACAGCTTGTAGTTCCCAGGACAAACAGAAGAGTTGAACTATGATTTGTGATAGGACTCAGAGAAGCGTGACGTATTCCTTTAGAGCAGTGGTTCTCAACCTTTCACAGGGGTCGCCTAAGACCATCGGAAACACATATTTTCAATGGTCTTAGGAACCGAGACACCACTCCTCTATCCGTCTCCAGGCCCACATGCAGATACGCCCACATACGAGTACCCGGTGACCCCTGTGAAAGGGTCGTTCAACCCCCAAAGGGGTCGCGACCCACAGGTTGAGAACCACTGCTTTAGCGTATTAGGATTACTCTTTGGAGGGTTCTTATGGACTTGTCTCTCTAGTCCCTCATGTAAATCAGGGAACCATGTATACACCTTGCATTTTCCCAGTGAACTTTGCTCTTGATGTCAGCTAGAAGCTATGTGAGCACATATATACCAGAGATGTGTAGAAAGCAAATTGAATGGGGGTTTCAATTTGCTTAATTTTGCTTATGTATTATATATTTTTCTTGGATACTGACCACCTGCTATGTATAGATGTGTAATCCTGTTGGTTTACAAGAGGTTTGTGCCATGAATTTTGCTCTTATGCAGCTTATAACCAACTTGAGGAAAGAAAGGGTAAAAATAGGTAATTTTAACAATTTGGGAATAATTAAATGCTAAACCTGTAAGTGCAATGGGAGTACAGAGAAGGCTGAGCTTTGTGTGAGGTTGACTGACTGGGATAAGTTTCCTGGAACACATGGAACTTCATCTGCGGGTATGAAGTGTTTGAGGCAGAATAGGAAGGAGTTACCACACTGTGCTCTCCAGGCCATGGGAATGGACACAAAGGATTATGTGCAAATAAGTAAGCATATTGATGAAAGGAAAAAGAAATATTGAAAATCAAGATTAGGGATAGGTTTTAATCACATACTAAAAACCTTAGAAACCATGGGAGAAAATTTTATTATACTATAGATATTATGTTAATTACATATGGAAGACAATATGAAGCTATTGAAGATTCTTGGGCCAAAGACTAACATGTTGAAAGTGACCAAAGTTTAACTTCATCAGGAAATGTGGACCTATAGGAAAAACTTAAGTTTGGAACTGGGAATATATTTTGTTAGTAGAGTCCATCTATTGGTAGTATTCTCTTTATTTGGTTATATAAAAATAAAATATATAATATTATAATGCATATAAATACATTTTTTGTTGTTTTAGAGGAATTCCAGGAAAGAAATGTGGAATAATCATACTTACCGCAGAGGAATTAAACTGTTGTAGGGTAAGTAAATATTTCTTTGGTCTAAATAGTATTTCCAACACTATTTTAAAACTGATATTTCTGAAACTATACTTAAATAATTCTTGAGTAATTTTAGCAAACTATAATTAAAACTATCCTTTATGTAATTCTATAATCCATAAAATATCACTTTAGATATTTAGTACTTTAACTAGAGAGACTATATTCTACAATCCAAACAGGATAATCAGTTGTTTTAATAGTCTTTTTACAGAGTAGAAATTATTAAAATAAAACCTAATGTCAGGATCAATTTGGAGGCATTAATATACAGAATTGTCAATTGTACCAATCTGATGAGCTCGTCCAAAAATTTTGAAGATGATGTGTGATTCTGAAGGAGTATATCTATAGGCATTTGATTTTAGTCCTTTTGCATAACGTACTTGTTTTTCCATATTTTTAGTTAAATTAATTCAGAATATGTGTGTGTGTGTGTGTGTGTGTGTGTGTGTGTGTGTGTGTGCGTGTGTGCGTGTGTGTGCGTGCATTCCCATCTTTTGTTAGCTTGGGAAGTCCACGTTTGAAGGAAGAATCAGCTACCACTTCAACGAGGAACATGATGATAAAAAGTGCATAATCAATATTTTTAGAAAACTGCTCTTTGCAGTTGTGGTTTCCTGATGCAGCCATTGATTCACATTCAATGACTTCATTGAAGAAATGAGCTGGTAGCTATGACACTCCACCCTGGAAGTAATGATGGCTCTCTGAATCCAAAGTCAATACTTCTGTTTAATGTGGCCCAGTGGATCCCCAGGAATTGTTTCTGGGGAAAAGAAGTTTACCCTCGATTATATTTATGTAATATATTATATTTTATATTATATTTATATAATAAAGGCTCTTTATTTACAGTATTTGCTTCATGATGTTAGGAATAGAAGCTCCCAAAAGGTACCAAAATTTAATACCTTGACACTAGCCACAGTTTTCATATAGAGAGCTATTATTTATTATCTGAATTTGTAACTTTACTCTCCAGTTTGTTTTTTTTAAAGAGAATTACTATGGCTTTATATACTTAATATTTCCAAAGCAATATGGTCAGAAAAATGATATTACTTGCCAGCAAATGACGGAAATTGAATATTCCAATAGATTACATACCTTTGGGATTCTGGGGTTGGGACAGTAAGATAACAAAAGGGGAGTATAATAACAGGCTTGTGGAGATAATTAAGCAAGCATATTGGAATTTAAGCTGTTACAAATGGACTCAGATTGAGGCATTTCCATTATTTTCCCTCCCCTTGCCTTTGTCCCTGTGGGCAGGTCACAGCCACATCAGCCTCAGTTTTCTCATATATAAAATGCCAGAACCTACTTCCAGGATAATGCTGTTAAAGGCCATCAGACTGAACTGTTTTGGTTTTGCTAGTAATGTGCACTTTGTCTTATCAAGTCACTTGATTGCTCTAAGTTTTACTTTCTATATTTGCAGGAGGGGAAAAAGCCAAACATGTGAACCAGTCAGTCACTAGAATATTTTTTAAAATTCTCCTATCTCTGAAAATCAACTACCATATCATTGTCTGAAAATCTAATGTATATGAAAGCATTTTATGTTTACTGAAAATGCCTTACAAAAAAATAGTACAATTATTTAAATGCAGAAATAATCCCTACCATCCTAGTTTTTAGTTAAACCGGCGCAATGATTTCTTTTAATTATGTCCTCTAAGCATCTTTTATACTTCTTGTCTCTGAATTTGTTTGTGCGGATGGTAACATGTTTTGTATAATGAGGGAGGAAAGAGAAAAACAAGTTCAAGATGAATCAGGTACAGTTTCTTTATAGAGACATTAACATGCTATTCTGTCAAAATCCTGATAGTAAGATAATTTTGTATAAATATGCCAATGAACTCATTATTAGTTTTATTTCAAAAGAGAACCAAGATGCCAAAGACATATACTGAGTATGATCAGGTTGCATCTTACGTATCTTCTACTTTCAATTCTATTGTTTCACTTGGAAGAACAGGGAAATGAAGTAGAGTCTGTTACTTAGTGATCTACAGTCATTTTTACCACCCTTTCTGCTACTTACGCTTTAAGAAGACCTGGAATTACCTTTCAATAAGAACATACATATTTCTCATACTTAGAAATTATAGATCTAATATTTTAAAAGTGTTATTTAGAATCAGGATCTAACATCATCTTATGTATCCTATGTTCTAATTCTTAACTACAACCTTATATCAGCATCATTATTAATAGATAAAAGCCTTGAAATGATACTTCATTACTATGCTGGTATACTAGAAGAAACAAATGTATTCAAAGCAATGGTCATAATGACTTCAGGAGACACAATGTCTTTTAAATTTACATTTTAGGATACTTTAAAACTATTTAGAATTTTTAATGAAATAATGTGACTTCACATTTGACATCATACTAATTGACATCTTTTTTTTTTTCCTTTAAAACCCATTGTCAGTTATTAATTTGAGAATAAACTTCGGAATCAGGACACCTGAATTTCAGTCTTAGGTCTTTTACTATTCACCTGAGTGAAGTTATGTTCTTGGAGCTTGTAAAATGCTGATATTCTTTTTTCTTTTTGAAAGATTTTTAAATGGGAATTGAGGGAGTGGAACAGTGTTGGGGAATTGGGGAAGGGGAACAGACAAGTTGTTGTCCTTCAATCTTAGTTGTGGAGGGCACAGCTAGCTCAACTTCAAGTCTAGTCACGCCGCTCAGCTCAAGATGCTGTGTTCAATTAGTTGCGGGTAGGTGTAGCCACCATCCCATGCGGGAGTCGAACCGGCAGCCTCGTTATTAAGAGCTCACACTCTATCCACTGAGCCATCCGGGCGGCAGCTTTGCTCAAGGTGCCCAGTTCAGCCTTTAGTTGCGGATAGGTGTAGCCCACCATCTCAAACAGGCAACCTTGTTGTTAGGAGCATGTGCTCTCACCAGCTGAGCCATCCTGCCACCTGTTGGCAGCTCAGCGGCAGCTCAGTTCAGGGGCAGCTCACTGGCCCATGTGGGAATCGAACCAGTGACCCTGTTGCTCAGAGCTTGCACTCTTGAGCAAGCTCTTAACCGCTCGGCTGGCCCCAAAATGCTGGTATTCTTAATTCTTCCCCAAGGTGTTTACTCGGCAGGAAAATTAAAAAAAAAAAAAAAGAAGAAAAGAAAAGAAAAAAAGAGCAGCATTTGAGAGACGTATAAATCATAGCTTAAAAGTAGCTTGAAATTATCCACAAAGAATAGTTTTCATTCTGAATGATCCACCAGTATTTACAAATTATACAATGTGCTTGTCTCTGAAATGGATGCTTAGACTACAGTGGTGAGGGGAGAAAAAAGCAAGCATGGTTCTTGTCTTTAATGGACACATAGTTTGTGGGAAAGGCAGACATTAATCAGATGACAACATAGGTAAATATGTCATGCTATACACTAAGTGATCAAATATATTGCAAAAAGGCAATGGAAAAATCTAATTTATGTGAGGGAGAGTGTCATGCAGGCCTCTTTGAGAAAATGACATTTAAGCTAAACCCTAAGGAATGTTTGCCAGCCAAAAGGTAGGAATTCCAGCAGAGTGCACAGCTTGTGTAAGGTCCTAAGGAGGGACAGCAGTGTGTCTGGTGCTTGATGACAAGGGCGTAGGAGTGGGGATGAGTGACATAAAACTGCAACATGATGGTGGAAATGGCTGCTTGGAGCTGTTTGGTGTTGGGCTTTGCAGACCATGTTAAAGATTATGTAGCTATCTGAAATGCAAGAGAAAGCCTTGAAGCATTTTAAGTTTTTAAACAGCATCATTCCTTTCATGTTTTAAGAACATTATTCTCCCTGCTGAATGGAGAATGGATTGGATAGGTCCAAGAGTGGAAGAGGGAGAAATGAAATACACAGATGACATTAAGCATAAGAGACCAAAAAAAAAAAACAACAACAACAACAAAAATTGGCAATGATACCTGTATATTTCTAAAAATAAGTAAATGCTTGATTTTTTTCCCTCCAGAAATTAGATTTCTTTTGTGCTTGTTGCAGATGAAATTCCTGCTAAGTTATTAACCCGGGTAATTGCAAATATATTTTCCCTAATGTAATATATATAATTTGGTGCATTGAAAGACAATTTTGTTTTGAATCAGTAATTCGTTTTGCAAGCCTTAAAGAAAATAATTTGAAAAATTACTACTTGGTATTACATTTACCAGTGATCATATGAAAATTTATGTTTAATAATATATTTGAACTCTTGGAAGCTTAATTCACAATCAGTGTGTAATACACACATTTCATTTATCTATTATGCATTATAAGTATAACAGAATTTTGGGAAGAGTTTGTATTTTGGTCCAGGTACTTTGAGAGAATGTCTTCAAGGTGCAATTTTTTTTCTTTTCCTGGGGCAAGAACAGTGTCCTTGTCCCATGTTCTTAGAATACAACCGTGTTCCATGGGCATTTTATATATATGAAGATGAAACGACATTCAAAACAAACAAAACAAAACAAAGTAAAACAAAAATACCAGCCTTTCCTTCTCAATTTGGCCCTTGATTTTATAGTTTGATCATCCAGGGTGATTCTCTCACTGCTTCCTTAATGGACAGTGTATAAATTTTTTTGTCTTTAAACCTCTAATCTGAGAAGTGATCATGGTTGAGAGGCTCGAGGTGGTAAGGATGTCATACTGTTCTAGCCTCTGTTCCCCTTTTAGTTTTCTTTAAAGTGTTTATTGTCACCATGCCTGCTTAGAAGTGTAATGCCTGCTCCATTCTGAGTACTCTGGCACAAGTCAGCACATCTCTATTCTAAATCACAAAGTAAAATGACACTCTACCAATGCTTTTGGAAATTAGAAATCTAGAGCTGTGCACTTCTCAGAGGACAGAGATATGTCTTGTTCATCTCCCTATTCCCAAATTCCAGCCTGGGTATTACCTGAGAAATGTTTGCTAAGTAAGTATAGGAATGCATGAATGAAAGCGAGATAGCATCATCTCTTGTATAGTGTTCTGGAATCACTGAAAGGAAACAAAGAGAACTTCAGGTGGATGCTTGATAAGTATTGCTGGACTCTGGAAAATAAAAAAGTAGTGAATAAGAGAGTGCTGTTTAAGTCATTGTTAACATTTTCACCAAATGGTATTTACAACTGTGACCTCTTGATTTACTCTGAATTACTTTGACCCTCTACCTCTTTTCAAAATTGTTAGCATTTTTCAGTTAAGAAAGCAAACAAACCAAAAATAGTGATTTTTATTGTTAAAATACTATACATTTTCTACCTTTAGAAAAGCTTATCCTACCTAATGGAATAACATTTCACTTCCTTGATTTATAATACCCCAGTTTGCTTACCTTTAAGCTTAATCACATAGATTATGAGTGCTTGAGTATATATAGTAAATTAGTGAAAATGATTGGTTTGGTATAGTGATCAACATACAAATATGTAATTTAAATTACAGATAAAAAAGGTGCTTTGCTTTTCTTGAAGCCTAATATAATAGAAATTATTTTTAAATGTAGTGATTGGAACATTATGGTGCATTTGTGTGTAATTAAGAAGGAAACCCCCTACTCCGTCCCCCCCAAACAGGTAGTAAACTATGTGGTCAGAGCCTGGATCTGTCTTGTTCGTCATCTAATCATCTAATACATGATAGATGCTTAGTAGATGCTCAGTAAATATCTCCTCAGGAACTAAAGAAAAAAAACACTTAAGTTCTAAAAATGTGTACTTCAATACCTGAAGATATGACTATAGATTTTGTATTATGATATTGGGTAGCTAGAGTCATCTCACTTCTTAGAGGGGAAATATTACAGATTTTTAAAAAGTTAATTTTGTGACTAGAACAGAAACTTACAGAGTCAATTTTTCAGTGTCACCGTCCTTTAAATAGCAGTTTTATGTTATCTGGGATTCTCACACACTTGGCTATTTGCTTTAAAATGGCAAATTTGTTTTGTTGTCAAGTCTTGCTTGTTATCTTCAGTTTCTAGTTATTTATAGCCCAGACTTTGACCTATTTTATTAACATTGTTTTCAGGATGCTGTTCTGATGCAATTTTGTGCTAACAAATTGGACAAGAAGGACTTCTTTGGAAAATCAGATCCTTTTCTTGTATTTTATCGAAGTAATGAAGATGGCAGGTAGATTTCTATTTCATGAATTTTAACTCTGTAGTGAGGATGAGAATTGTTACTTTTCTCAGAGAAGCTCATTAAATTGATATAAACAGAGTAAAACATTTTGGTATTTTAAAAATTGATGTAATTTTTAAATCTCAATAATAATGCATAACTTTATAAGCATTTTGTATGTTTTGTGTGGTATTTAAATGAATGACTATCAGCTTCATGGAAATGTTTTCTCTTTACTTTTTATAAAATTATAATATTGTCTTAATAGTGTGAAAGAATTATGTTTTTGTGGAAATCTAATGTATTTTGCTATAGAATTGAACTCTAATCATTTTCAAGAAGGATATGGACTATGTGGATTGCTTTTCATACTACAGGTTGTTGGGGTTTTTTTTCAATAATATTTAAGTCTTAACATTCAATAAAATTTTTAATTACATCCTAGTAATTTAAATATTTTTACCAGTCATAGTTAGACTGGTTTCTATGTGGTTTGAAAATGTAATCCATAGGTTATAGAGTATAATTTAATACATATGACTCTACCACTAAATATATTTTTATAGAGTATAATTTAATACATATGACTCTACCACTAAATATATTTTATTGTTTTCTGTGATTCATATTGTACTGTCAGTATTCATGGGAAAGTTTAGTGATTAAAATTATGGGCTAAGGTTTTATTGCCTAGGTTTAAATCATGACCCTGCTACTTAATAGCTATGGAACCATTGGCAAGTTTTTAAAGCTATATGAGACTCAGTTTCCTCATCTCTAAAATGGACTAATAATCATAGCTACCTCAGAGGGTTGTTGAGAGTATTACATGGGTTACTACACAAAAAAAACATTTAGAAGCTTGCTTAATACATAAAAATAATTTGTTAGCTGCTCTTATTATTATTATAGTATAATGTTTCCTTTAGTGTTTTCCTTAATTATGCCTAATAAAATATTAGATAAAGAGAAAACATAATATAGAGATTAAAAATGAGGGGAATGGAAAAATAACTTGTCACTACTATTCTACTTATAAATAAAATTACACAACATGTAATAAGTGTATAAAATGTTACATGAGAATAAAAAGTTTGCTATTTAAAGTGAATACATTGGAGAGCAGAAACTGATGCGTTACTTATTGTGGAATTTTGTTGATGCAGCTACTGGTCAACTGTTGGCTATTTTTGTTATAGTGTCATATTATTGGATTTTGTGTACTCCCCTTCTATTTTGGTGGTTAAAATATCAGAGTAGCATTTGCATCTGAGCGCTGATTTTACCCATGTGAAAAATACTGGATATTTTTCAATATATCCAGTATTTACTGTGAAGAAAATAATTGTATTTGCCAGTCATTTCAAAAATACAGCAAAGCTAAAGAATGAGTTCAAAATTTCTTGAATCACAACATTCCTCTGTCTCCTCCTGTCTGAACTACTTGTGTCTTAAATTTTCTATTTTTATTCTTTTAGTTTTCTTTATTCATAAAGATTATTTGTACGATTATAGAATTTTAATGTTACATTAATGCTACTGGTGAGAATTATATTGCAGAAATTATTTATTATATTTGTATGAATAATATTAGCTTATTCATTAAATGGAATCTAAATAATAAGAAAAAAGTACAGCTAATCCAAAAATCTCAAGTCATTTATAAACAAACATTGCTAAAATTGATGAATCTCATTTCAGAAAATTTTCCATGTATATTTACATAAAACTAGTTTACCAGCTAAACCCATATATATATATATATATATATATATATATATATATATATATTATATGTATGTATTAATATATGTATGTTTCGTTTAATGAGTAAAAATGCTTTTACTCTTCACTTTTTATGAATAAGTCTTTATTTTTTACTGCAAAGATTGTAGCCTTATTTTTAGCATTTATTTTCACATGGAGCTATTTCAAAAATTGTTGTTGTCTAATATATTTGAGGCTCATTTTAAAAGAGAGAGTAAAAGTAATTTCCACCAGATACATTAATACAAAATCTTAATAATATATGATTACAAATTTTTATTTTCTTGCTTTCACATTTATTTGGTAAGTTGACCTGTATTTACAATTAGGTAATAATTTTCCTTTAGAATAGCTGTTTATTGGTAAATAGCTTCACTTAAAGTATTTTAATACATGTTATTGGGTTGTCAGAAAAATCATGATGCATTTTTACAACAAAAAACATAGAAATAATATGTCATGACTTTTCCGACAACCTAATATATAATATTTTTTTTATAATACTATTTGTAATGCATCCATGCATACACATTATATTTATGTAACAATACTCCTGAATGTTAGGAAGAGCTACATCAGATTCCTATCAGAATTTTCACTAGTTACGCTAGCACTGGAATTTCTAGTGAGATTTTGCTGTCTATATCACATCTAATGCATTACAAGTGAGAATGATTGATAGAAGACAGATGACTACCTAAGTAATAAATAGCTCACTAAGAAGATGAATCACTGTCTTAAAAGAAGTTTCAAGTGTCAAAGTAATTACAATGGCTGGTGATACTAAGACTATATAACAGAAGTTTTGATTTAACTATAAGCAAAGAGGCCAAAAAATCAGTAAATTGTTGAGCATGTTGGTTTGAAGATTGTCAGTTGGTTGCTTGCTCACTCTATCATCTATCTATCTATCTATCTATCTATCTATCTATCTATCTATCTATCTATCCATCCTGTAGTTATCATCATATTATCATGCAAAAGACTTGGTATATACAGTAATACCTTGGTTGCGAGCATAATTCTTTCTAGAAATAAACTACTCGTATTGAAAGACATCACTCATTTACCACGTTAAAATGTATTAGAAATGTTTGCTCGTTTTGCGGAATACTCGCAAACCACATTACTCTCAATCCAAGGCTTCACTGTATTAGAATCTGATACAAGAAACATGAAGGAAGCACCTTTGTAGAACTTTTAGAATGTAGTTTATTATGAAGGAAGGCAGATAGATGTCTTCTAAAATTATATACAGAATTCTGTCCCTATGAGTTTTTCTTAACCATTTTTGTGTACTTTTGCCTTTTCTCATTGGATTCCCTGTTTTTTTCCCTGACTACTTATCCCTCATCCCCTTAGGTTTTTCTTCCCTCTGCTTTAGATGTCTTCAGTTTTCTCTATCTCTTTTTTTTTTTTTAGCACTTCTTTTTTTTTTTTTTTAGCTGAGCCATCCTGCCACCTGTTGGTAGCTCAGTGGCTGCTCAGCTCAGGCCGGGTCTCGAACCGCTGTTGCTCAGAGCTCAAACTCTTGAGCGAGCTCTTAACCAACCGAGCCACTCGGCCGGCCCTTCTCTATCTTTTAATACCTTTACTCCCACTGGCGCCTAAATTGCTTAAGCAAGACAACTCGGAGAGCATTTGACCACAGAGCTCTTTCCAGTTAGTAATGTGAATCTCTTTAGATTGGTGAGCATACTATGAGGAAGGGGATGGCACTATGCCAGAAGTCTTATCATGAATACTTGATCTCTTTATGTTATATTTTGATTTGATATCTTAATAGAAACAAACCCTTCTTTCCCGAGAGGAGGCAAATAGACTGAAAGGCTTTTCAAAATGAGAATATTTTCTTGTGGGGGTTAGGTACTATATATTCACTATGGTGATTCTCTAATATTCTCATGTCCACGACTGTTAGAGAGATCCCTGAATTTGGAATACTTCATGACGAAGGTCTTGGTGAGGGGTTGCTCTTACATATTGTTCTAACCAAGATCATTTTAAACATTTTATAACTTATGAGCTGCTGCATAAATTCACATTAGGCAAGAACATTTGGACCTGACTGATGTCTGGAGATTGGATGGCTTGGTGGAAACACCACTGGAATTTGAATCAGAAAACCGAGTTAAGCCTCCCTGAATTGTACTACTTATTGTGTATTCTTGAGTTGCCATCTTCCTCCCCTCTAGGAAGTCTTTAGCTATATAGAGCCAACAATTTAGATAAAGAAGGAACCACATACCGAATGGTCTCACTATAAATTCATGATGTTCATTTTAAATGAGCCCTTGGGGCTCCCCAGGAAACCTCCCCAAAACTTCAGCACTTCTGCCTTCTTCCTTCTATGCTGATTATCATACTTCTAGTATCATACATAAGACAATGGAAGCCATTGGAGAACTTCCTCATGATATCATCGTAGCATCTACCCTATGCTATAATACTGTGCCTTCCAGAATGTTCCTACAGAATGACAATCTGTGTTCCTACGGCCAGTTCTTCCACTAATGCCCTGGACCCCATCCACCTTCATCCCCTTGAGGTCCTTGCTCTAGCCTTTCTCCCCTTTCTCTCATGCATCACAAATTGTTTCCTCCCTACCAGATCTTTTCCTTTAGCATACAACCTTGTTGATATTTCTTCCTTCTTGAAAAAAGATTTCAAAAGTAATAAAAAAATAAATAAAAACAAACAAACCCCAAACCCTTTACTTGACTAATTTTTCCCCTTGAGTTACCCCCAATTTCTTTTTGTCTCTTTAAAGCTAAAATCCTCAGAAATTTTGTTTACACACTTGCCTCAATTTCTCTTTTCTTTCTTAAACCCACTCCAACCAGGTTTTTGTCCCCATCACTCCGACAAAACAGTTCTTCTCAGGGTTACTTCATATTTTGAGTGACCCTGGATGTTTTTTTGCTACATTAATATGTCATCACTATTTTTAGAGATTGTTTACAAAGCAGCTTTAGAATTTGTTGAATTTGCAGAAGATCATTTTTAGTAAACTTGATTCAAAATATTTTTGCTTTATATTATAGTGAGCTAATCTTTAAAGCTTTGAAACCATAAATCCCTTCCTATTAAATGATATAGCAGCAACATTGGGACTGGCAACATTTATTCTGCACAAAAAGAAAGAGAAGAATGATGACTAAAACAATGTATCATAATTGAATCATGAAAATAACTGAAAACATTTTCTTTTACAGTTTTACAATTTGTCATAAAACAGAAGTTGTCAAAAACACTCTAAATCCTGTATGGCAAGCATTCAAGATCTCAGTCAGAGCATTATGTAATGGCGATTTTGACAGGTAAAATAAATGACAACTTTCCTGAGAACTTTGAGTATTCACTATAGATTTTATATGCAATAACCCTAAATCGCTTTTAAAAAATCTAAGGTGGCTTCTTTACTGATGTAAATGTGTATTTACAAAAGGATGAATGATGTATTTAGAAGTGTTTAAATAACTTTTTAATTCACAAGGATTTGGGAAAGAGGGATAATTTGGTGAATTAAAATTAGTTAAACTAACTGTTTTTCCAAACAAAAATGTGGAAAGTTCTAAAAATATATTGAATATATGTTTAAGGTTTAACATATTCAAGTCATCCCAGAATTTTCATTGCCTCAAGTCTTTCGTTTGATACTATCTTTCTAGGCTGCAATAAGTAAATATATGAGATATACAAAGTTATGTTATCAACCCTGACAAACTCTTGAAAATGGTATTTAGCATCACTGTTGTCATGGTTGCTGAACCATAGAAGTTCTATAGATGTAGAACAGAACGGTTCTGGTATTTTACAAGTAGGTGGGTGAGGAGGCCTTAAGATCTTCCCACAATATACCTGAATATTTTTTAATATCATTTTTTTGTTGTTTTTCTTATGTAAGTTGATTGTAATGTTACAGTATAAAAATCCCTACTCACCCCCCAAAAAAAGCCAATAACTAGAAAGTTAAAAACTCATCTCTTCATTTTTATCTTGTTACTTGTGTATTTAAAAAATGTGAATTTATCAACTAAGAGAAGAACTATTGATTACCAATATGTCATTATATTTATTTTAAAATTTATGCCACTTGACTGTCATTTTGTTTATTTAATAGGATTATAACTTAATTTAACTGGACTCATTCTTTCTCTAAGAAAGTGGTTCTCATAATATGTTCAGCTCACCTGGTTAACCATGTAGAAATTCAAGTTCTTAGTCCAGTCCCCAACCCAGGCCTCCTGAACCAGGAAGTCTGGGCATGAGGTCCAACAATCTGTTTTGCCAAGACTTCCATGTGATTCTGATCCATGCTGGGATGAGAAATCCTGCTCGAACACAATGGTTTTTAAGAGAAGTCGCTGCATGTCCCCCTGTTGAGGAGCTCGGTCAAGTTACACATACTTCTTCCGTATACTTTCCCTACTTGCTCCCTTTAAAGAATCAGTACAGATTTTAGAAACCTATTTTAAGATTTAAATTGAATTATAGCCATACAATTAGCACAATCAACTTCAAATTACTTTTTAAACCTTCAAACATACACTATTTTATTTTAAATAATTACAACTTATTTTTAAATTCTCAGTCATATATTGTTTGGTCTTACTGAGTAACTTTATGTGTGTGTTTTTCCCATGGACAGAACAATCAAAATAGAGGTATATGACTGGGATCGGGATGGGAGGTAAGATGTTTTTTCTTTTATTCTTGCTCTTGAAATTTAATATGCTTTAAGAAACAAGTATGTTTTTTAATTTTAATTTTCAGATTGCATATTTTGTCCTATTTTTCCAAATATTACTAAATGTTTACATGAGATTTTAAGAATGAGTGTATTTTCTTCAACCTGGAGATTTAAAGAGAGGCCTTCCTCACTTCCAGTAACATAGTAAAGATTTTCAATTTGAATGTGGTGATTTCTCATGTGTCCAATTTACCAATATCTAGTTTTATAGCTATAGGTAGTGATTCTCAAATTTCTGTGTCCCACAGTCTCTCCGAAGATTCCTGTAACTTTTATATCCCATATCATTCATAGGAACACTCCTGAGTCTCCCCCTCTGTCCCTTCAAAAAGACATATACCTCACAAACAAACAACAAAATAGAACTCTAGAATTATGCCTGGTGACTGCCAACACAAACAGTTGTTCAGAGATCTGCAGTCATGGTCTCTTCTGTGTATCACAGCAGATGTTGAAGCCTAACACTATGTAGCATAGGGAATACAGTCAATAATATTGTAATAACTGTGTATGGTGCCAGGTGGGTACTAGACTAATTGGGGGGATCACTTCATGAATTATATTAATTTCTAACCACTACACTGTACACCTGAAACTAATATAAAATGATATTGAATGTCAACTGTAATTGAAAAATAAAAAAAATAAAATAATCTACTTTTTGAGACATGAATTTCGAAGCAATTAAAACATTTAAATAGGAGATTTTGTAAGCTCATGTCATTGGATCATCAAGTATTTGGGGGAAAGATTGGAAGTGGTGAATATGATGTTGATTAATTTTAAAATTTCACTTCACCATCCATCATTAACAGCACATTCAAAAGGAGCCCGAGGAGTTCAAAACTGACTGGTAATAAAAGGGATGGAATTGGGATGAAAAGATTGTTAAGGAGAACTTTAAACATTCCTTGGAAATGAATTATGATTAGTAGAATAATTAGAGAAATGTATTATAATTTTATAAGTAGTCTAATGGCTTTTTTAATGTTGGGGCAAAATGTCTTTTTTTAATCCAAAATACAGCTCTATATTTTAAATGAAAAAATTTAGTGTATAATTCTATATAATCCATGTTCACTAAAGCAGCCTTTTTCAATGTTAGCAAAATTATCAATTTGTAGATGACATATAAAAAGCAAAATTAAAATCATGATTAAATAATTTTTGGGAACCTTTTCTACTAAGTAATACGAGTACATATGAAATTTGAAAAGCATATCAGTCTTCAGTAAAAATGATGTCTAAAAGCTAAAATCCAGATATTACTTTTACAATGCAATTATAGTAGTCACTATACGAATTGTTATACAGGTTGATAATCCAGCTCCTGGTTATGTGTGGTATAAAAACATGGGGTTATTATACTTTTTTACATACACTTTTGTTTACATGACATAATTTCCCAATATAGATGTTCTTTTCCTTAAATCAGAGTGAATATGACACTCATTATAGTGCATGATACAACATAATTATTAGCAGAGACTGTTTCCTATCTTTATGTTTCTTTTCCTGTCATTTTTAATATTTGTGGTAAATCCTGTACATGTATCACTCTCATTAGAAAAGATTATTAGCGCAGCAGATTTTTTTTTGGCAGTGTAGACCAGCATTTCCAAGAAATACGTGAGTTACATATGTAATTTTAAATTTGCTAGTGGCAACATTAAAAAGTGAAAATTAGCCGGTGAAATTAATATAATATTTTATTTAACCCTATCTATCCAAAAATGTTATAATTTCAGTATGGGATCAACATAAAACGTATTAATAAGAAATTTTACATTTTTCTAATACTAAGTCTTTGAAATCTGGTGTGTATTTTATGCTTGCAGCAATCTCAGTTCAGACTAGCTACATTTCAAGTGCCCTCTAGCGACACACGGTTGCTGGATACCATATTGGACAGCTCCATGTAGACTTTAAAAAAGTATAGAATATGCATCATAGGTACCTTCACATCAGATGGAATGTTTTGCCTGCATTTAGCAGAAATTGAATCGTTCCTTTATAAAGTTTGGAAAAACTGTTCAGACATCTGTATCATTTTGTGTATAAATTTAACTATAGGAAGCAAAAAAATGTAATCTTTCAATCTTGAGGGAATATTTCAGTCAAAAATTCAAGTGGAAAATGCTTGACAGTGGTACTTGCTTAAAATCACATTTTGTTTTACTAGCTGGAGTACTTCAGATAATTGCGGTGATAATGACTTTCACAGATTACGAGCCTCAGGTCAAGTGGTGTGGTCTTGAATCAAAATTCTGATGGTGTGTGTGACTCAGTCATCAACTTGGAATTCTTTCTGTAGTGAACATCTTGTACATCTATGAGGCGTACAAAAATGTGGTAATATCTTAAGCAAGTAACCAGTTGACATTGAAATTAGGGACCTTGAACTCATCTAGAATAGAAGAAATATAGCCCTTTGTCCTTTTTTATTTAAACACATTGATAGTGGTCTGAGAGTGCAGAGGCATTGCTTGACCTTGGTATGAAACTCAGTTTAAGGGTACTTAATTTTCTAGAAGGTAAGCCACTGTACTTAAATCATCCCCATAAATTACACCATTTCTTCAAGGGATGTGAAAAGAGAATATTTAAACCTCGTTTTAACAATTGAAAAGCTGAAGTGCTGAGAAGCTCACTAGCCTGGGTTGCAAAGCAATCAGTGGTGGTATCCTTGTCAAGCTTCAATTGCTTGAAGTTGTGGCAGCTGACTTTGTAGCTTAATTTAAAATTCGGGGAGCATTAATGGAAGAGCTCTGAGTTAAAACCCTGTGGCTCTAATGTGGGACTGATTGTAAATGGGCTACCACATAGATCACTGTCTCCCGGAAAATGATGATTTGATGAAAAGGCTCAGCCAGCGAACTGCCAATCATAAAAATCCGAGCTTGTGAAGTCTACTGAACAGGGAGCGCAAAAGTTCCATCATTACCACTCTGCAGTTTATCAAATGTAGTCATTTTAAATAGTGACACTTATTATAAGTAAGTACAAACTTCATTTATCTGTGAAGTGCTGTACAGATGCTATCATTTTCTTGTATGTTACCGTTGAAGATATTAGCTGATAAATGCATTTGATGTTTTATTTCTGTGCCTATGCACAGAAATAAGTGATTCTTGGTCCAGGGCTTCACTCAGGAACATACTTGTAAGTTGTCTAAGACATTATAACTCATTTAGGAGGAGCATGTGTAAACCTTTTATATGTTTTTCTCATTTATTTTAAATTTCCTCACGTATTCTAATTAATCTTTCCCTAACAGTAAACCTCTATTTGCTTGCAGTGAATCTTGGATGTTCTGAAAGTGTATTCAATAGACAAGATTCAGCCTCTTTCCTTGTTCCACTACCCATCACTTCTTTGAGACAAAACATGGTGATATGTGGAATTTTCACAAACTATGTGTTATTTACTCATAGACTGTTTTTTCTTCCACATATTAAAATTTTAGGTAATGTAGCTTGTCCCCCTTTTCCCTTCAATCTGTCATTCTTGTCCTCATGAAAGGCTGATTTAATTATGTATAGAGCTGATACCTTATGTGGTAATCAATTTTTTCCCTCTCTATGTTTTTATTTACTTATGATCTAATAGAAATTTTATTAATTTATTTTGGAAGAAATTGTTACTGAGCATTTATTAGGTACTAAACAGTTTGCCAGGTAATGTGACTTAATGAAAAACTCCAATCTTTACATAACAATATTTTAATTTTTCTTAATATTTTTTTTAAATATCCTTCTACTCACCTGGAGTGATTTTGGATTCTCTCAGGCCTGTATTTCAAGGAAAAATAGCTTTTTCTCATTTTCAGTAAGATTTCAAAGAAAATTACATAAACGTTTCACATTGGCCCGTTACTAAAAGATATTTACAGGATGAATTTTGGGAAGTGATATGCCAGCCAGCTTCCACTATGCAGCTCCTGAGTTTACCTGGTGCCCTTCTATCCCCATACTCTTGCTTTGATACCCTCCATACTTTGAAAGCCCTTCCGTTTTCATTTTTGCCTGTTGGTTTTCTGTTAAGACCCAACTTAAATGCTATCAATTGTCTCAAAACTTTCATTATACATATAAATTCATTTAATCCTTTTCTCCTGTGTGTTGTGTTTACCATTTTGGAATGTTTATTACTGTATCTAACACATTATGACTTACGTTGAAATTATTTCCACTTTATCTTTCATTTTAAATTATAAACTCCCTAAGGTTAAGGCCTGTGTTTTGTTTTATTATTCCTCCTGGAGTAGATTATAGTAGCTTTCATGTTGTAGTTTCTTGCCATGTTATTTCACTGTTATAGAAGAGAGTATTTGAAATAACTCGGTCATCTTTCCAATGAACACTCAATTCTCCATCAATGCTTTTATATCGCCTCATTTCCACCCTTTACTTGAGATTATGAAATAACCTTGAAAAAAATATTAGGGCTTTTACTTCTCTAGTGAAATTTCAGGCAGTAAGTAATTAATTCAGCCATCATTTTCTTAGTATCTTTTTTTTACCATTTGCAGACATCTTAGATTTTATATTCACATCTCTGTGATCTTCTTGTCATACAGATTAATTTTTCTGCTTTAGCCCATGTTCAAATACAGATGACTTTCACCAACTCAGTAGCAGAATTATTAAATTCAAATAAACAAATACATTTATAGTATAAATTTTGATATTTGATTATCTTACTATAATAGTTCATTCATTTGTCTCCATTATAATGTGATCAGTCAAATTTGGAATATAAATTAATTTCTAATTTTGGTATAAGGTAATATTAGAGTCCTGAGGGATAGAAGGGACCTTTAGAGTTAACATTTTATTTTATAAGGAGGGGGCTGAGACTATTTAATTATGTCCAATTTTAAATTGATCATCAACCTCACTAACCCTGCCTTTCTTGTTGTAGGTTTTATTCCATTTTAA